CCTTTTGCTAGTTCTTATATAAGGTACCATCAAAATGTTAGTAATTTCAGGATGATGGCCACGGTTTTCAACTAAATTTACTGTCATTTTGGATTTAAATTGGGGGCTACCCTCAACGTTATATGGGGGAAGCCACCACATAACGTTGCCTTCCAAATTTTTGTAATTTTGGGAGGGATAGACACGTTTTCAACCAAATTTGCTGGAAATTTTATTTTTTTTGCATTAACATGGTGTGTCAAATTTTCCTACCAAATATTAGAAATATTGGTCCATGTTTCGGGGTTTCCCGAATTGGTTTTTGGCAGTTTTTTTATGAAGTTGATTTTTTACATTTCTTCGGATATTATGTTTCAACAGTCAATTTTGAAATTTAGAATTATCATTGAACAGAAATACACTTACGGTGCTTTGTTACAATGTTATGTGTTGTCTCAGTTATTTTAATTCCGCAGACGCTAACTTTTATTAATATTTATTTATTTTTTTATTAACGAAAACACATTATCTTGTATATTCATTTATGATATTATTTATAAAAGATAAATATTAACAATTCATTGCATTTATTTACATTTTTTAACTACTTGTTGTGTTTGTTATTAGTTCATCTCTCCCTAGCACAAAAACAAATGCATAGCATTACAACGCACTATATCTCTTACTTGCTCTCACTCTCTTTATTAAATGAATGCCCGCCGTTCAAAAATACAAATCACCCGTTTTATGCATGGCAAAACGGCATTTTAACAATGAGATGGCAATGCTTGCCTCTCTAACTATCACACATGGAGTGTTAGGTGTGTGTGTAGGTGACACACAAGCCGACCACTGCTCAATTACAACAGTTCTCCATACATATGTTTGCATTCCTTTTGTTATGATTTGATGATGATGATGGCAATCCTCTCTCTGTCTCTCTCTCTCTTTGTTTTGTAAATAAATATTGCACTCACAAAATAAACAGAATGAAAAGAGCCAGTCAGGCAGGGAAGCAAACAAACAGCCAAGCTGAATTTTGCTTGACTTTGTGTATTCATGAGTGTGAGATAGATTCTTATTTTAAATTTGGAACGCGTTGTGAACGGTAATACGGTTGATTAAAGAATTTATTGAAAAAAGACAACAACAAAATTACTAAAGCGACATTGAAAGAAATAGAAAAATTGAATTGAACTCTGAAAGAAAAGAAACCAATTGAAATAATATAATAAAAGAAAATGGAAAATAATGGAATATAAAAAGAAAACCCAAAATAATACAAAATTATTTTATGAAATAAAGAAAAAAAATAGAAACACAAATGTTGCAAAAAAATTAAATTGAACTGTGAAATCTAAAATCTTTGTTCATTGTGAAAGGTCGTTGTTCACACACACGAACAAACATACATACACACACATGAGATTGATCCCTACTATTATAGAAAATATGGAGAAATATGGATGGATGTTGGGAGGAGGAGAAAAAAAGATGAATTTGTTGTTATTGTTTAAAAGAAAGAAAAAGAATATGAGAACAAAAATATGACGTTTTAATTCATAATGGAAAAAGTTTATTGTTGATGTTGTTTTTGTTGCTATTTTTTGTTGTTGTTTAAATATACTATACAAACAAAATCACAGCAGAACTAACAAGTGGCCGCTGGTTTGGGACAGACAAAATTAAATTAAAAAAACTCAGGCCGGGCAATAAGCAACGGATGTACATACACATATGTATGTACGAACGACCAACACAAAGTATTAAAAAAAAGGACGGACAACCCAAAACAATTGTATTCAGTTACGAAGAGGGTTTTCAGTTTCGTTTCGTTTTTTTTTCACATTTTGAAAGGTTTGAATGCCTCACTTTGTTTTGGTTTTTTTGTGTGTGACTGGTGTTAATGATGAAAGAAACAATTTCGTGGCTTTGTTTTTTGGGAAATAAATATGAAAACATTTTCGTTTCAAGAATATAAAAATTATCACATTACACATACAATTTTGAAAAATAAACAAAAACCAATTTGTAAACATATTTCTTTCATGCGATTTGGAAATTGTTTTCAAAATTGCCCCACTTGTCTGGAAGAAGAAGAAGACGAAAGAAATTGCCTAATTTGCACCTTGTGTTCAAAAGTAATGCAGACAAAGCCGAGAAGGCACACTGAAAATTCCAAAAAAAAATCTTGAAAAAATAATAATAATGAACTAGTGCAAAATGTGAAAAAATAGGATTCCGGGTGTCCCGGGCCGTGCCCTCCTCTGGCTACGTTATTTATTTTCGTCCATCCTTGGAAAAATATTTGTTCTAAAGATGCAAAAATCGATAAGTTCTGCTGAGCCGAACTTCCTATACCCTCCTCCACCATTATCGGAATTTTATTTGGGAATTATTCCATGGTAAAATTTCCAAATAAAAAAACTTCCATAAATTCTGTGGTGCCGATCTTCTTGAATCCTCCCTCACCATGATGTAGGCATTGAAAAATACCTCCCTCACCATGATGTAGGCATTCAAAAAATACCTAAAATAGATGGGGACTTTTATATGGGAGCTATTCCAATGTAAAATTTGCAAACCAGAACCAATTCGGTGGAAAAAAAGGTGCCCAAACACTCTGAAATACCGAAATTTGGGAGACACTGTTATATAGGGGCTAACCTAATAAGGAAAGACAGGAAGATTTCCCACCCCATGAGAACTCAAAAATTCCCAAATAACATCCAAATCGGTTGAAATTAGTGCCCAAAATTCACAAAAATGCCAAATAATCGATATCTATACCGAAACTTGCACCGATGTTGACCATTTTAGAGTGGGAGATTTATAAAAACAGCGAAATTGTCCAAACTCCACAATATTTCGAATTTTGGGAGGTACCCTTATATGGGGACGCCTACCCCGAAACTTGGGCCAATATTCATAATTTTTGGTAGGAAGATTTGCTACCACCCAATTAGAACCAGAAATACAAATTAATAGCCAATTTGGTTGAAAGATGTGCCCAAACTCCACTAACTAACGAATTTTTGGAGGTGCCCTTATATCGGAATTTAAATCAATACCTATCATCATTCGACCAATATTGATAATTTTTTCTTAGGGAGATTTTCTACTCAATCTGAATTTAAAATAACAGCCAATTCGGTTGAAAAACGTTTCCGAACTCTCCAAAATATAGAAGTTTCAGAGATGTCCTTATATGATTGATAATTTTCGATAGGGACATTTTCTACTTAGTGAGAATCCGAAATATTAAATTACAGCAAATTTGGGTCGAGAAATTTGACCAAAAAACCCAAAATATCGAAATTCGGAAGGTACCGACTGTATGGAGGCTACCCCAAAACTTGGACCATTATTGACAATTTTTCTTAGGGAGATTTTCTACACAATTATAATTTAAAATAACCACCAATTCGGTTTAAAAAACGTTACCGCACTCCCGAAAATACCGAAATTTCGAAGATGTCTTAGTACCGGAACTTAAGTCAACATTAATAATTTTTGATAGGGATATTTTTCTACGTAGTGAGAATCCGAAATATTAAATTACAGCCAATTTGGGTCGAGAAATGTGACCAAAGACCCCCAAAATATCGAAATTCGGAAGGTAACGTTGTGTGGAGGCTACCCCGAATTTTGGTCTAATATTGATAATTTTTGGTAAGGAGGTTTTCTACACAATGAGAATACCATATATAAAATTAGAGCCAATTCAGTTTAAAAAATCTGCTCAAACTCGCCAAAATATAAAGGTTTTGGGGTTACCCTAATATGGGGACTATACCAAAACGTACACCGATAGCGATACTTTTTGGCAGGAACATTTGGCATCCAATGAGAACTCAAAATACCAAATTACAGCCAATTTGGATCGAGAAATGCATCGAAACTTTTTAAAATATCGAAATTCGGAAGGAACCGTTGTATGAAGGCTGTCCCGAAACATGGGCCAATATTAATCATTTTTGGTAGGGAAATTTTCTACCTAGTGAGAATGCGAAATATTAAATTGCAACCAATTTGGTTAGAAATGTCTCCAAAATATCGAAGTTCTGAAGGTGCCGTTGTATGGAGCCTACCCCGAAACTTGGACCAATATTGATAATTTTTGGTACGGAGGTCAGAATACCAAATATTAAATTACAGCCAAATTAGGTGGAGAAATGTGCTCAAACTCGCCAAAATATTGAAATTTTGAAGGTACCCTGATATGGGACCTACACCAAAACGTAGACCGATACTGATATTTTTTGGCGGGAACATTTGGCATTCAATGGGAACGCAAAATACGAAATTACATCCAATTTGGATTATGATCACAAACTCCCCAAAATATCCAAGTTCTGAAGGTACCGGTTGTATGGAGGCTACCCCCACACTTGGATCCATATTGATACTTTTGGGTAGGGAGGTTTTCTACATAATCAGAATATCAAATATAAAATTACACCCAATTAAGTTTAAAAAATGTACTCAAACTCGCCAAAAACACCGAGAAAAAATTTCAAATATTAAAAAAAAAATCCAATTCATAACCATTCGAATCGGGGGACCAGCAAACAAAGCTCCCCTTTTAAATTTCAGAAACTTGAAATTTTTTTTTTTCATTGGCAATGAAATTATGATGATAAGAAAAATCTCAGCATATCACGTTCTAGGTGCATATGTGAGTGTGTGTGTGAATAATTCTGAAGCCACTTTCACAATGAACTAAAGCTAGACAAAAAATAAATAAATAATACTGCGAAAAATTATTCAAATCAATGTTTAAAATTTCAGTTCAACAGGCAAAGGCCAGTCAGCGATTTGAAAATATTTTTTTGTGAATGTGTATGTGTGTTTGTGCATATTTAAGAATTCATAAGAACGAAAAAAAAAATAAACAAATAAAGGGAAGAAAGAAACAAAAAAACATTGTGTGGTTCTGATGACAACATCGTCATAGAAAAATAAAAGAAGAAACAAAAAACGCAACAAATAAAGAAGCCGGTAAAATACACCTCTTAAACATGTCCCCATTTGCTAGTGGGAGTCGCTGCCTTTTATGGCTATTACCACTCGTTATATGTACTACTACTATATTGGCCGACACCAGCACCTCATATCGCCCCGGCCTCTTTGCCCCCCTTGAAATCGATGCGATACGTCAAGAATATCTAAGTTTAGAAAAGTCGCTATGGCAACATTTGGATCGTTCTACGAATAATCGTAATGCCGAACAACAGCTGCGTAAAATTATCGATTCACATCGTCGTTTTGTGCAGCAGCATATGGGCCAGGGTACCGAATGGCAGGAGGGCAAATATGATATCTTAAATCACTATGAATGGAGTATTTTGGAACGTGATTTAATACAAATCGATAATTTATTTGGTGTCTTTGCCGCGTATTTACGTTCGCATCATAACAGTGCAGCGGATTTGGAAGAGCAACAGCTGATGGATGTGACGGAGAGTGTTTTGCGTAACGACAAGACATTTTCAATGGCACGAATTCTGCAGGATATTGAATTGATAATGGTCAAACAGACAATGTATTATCGGGCAATGATGGTTAGTTGATGGATGAAAATTGAAAAAAATATATATTTTTTATTTCAGGAAAAATAAAAAATAGGGATTTAAAAATAATTGAAATTCCAAAAAAAAACTATCGCATTTCAAAATCGAAAAATTCCAAGAATTTTAAAATTTATCGAAAACAATATAATATATTTTTATTTCAGGAAAAATATAAAGTTTTGGGATTTAAAAAAATTTTAATTCCAAAAAAGAACGACATTTCAATCACGAAAATATCAAATAATTTGAAAATTTATAGAAAAAATTATTTTTTTATTTCAGGAAAAATTGAAAAATAGGAATTTAAAAAAATTGAAAAATTCCAAATTTAATTTAAAAAATTGAAAATTTTAAGAAATTTCAAAAAACGTTTCATATGAAATTCATTTTTTTATTGGTGAAATTCCAAGATTTATGAAATTTCAGTATCGATATTTTCAAAGAATTTAAAAATTTCTAAAACTAAATAAATAAAAAAAGTATTCAACTGTTAAATTTTTAAATATTAAATGCGTAAATATTAGAGTTTTAGAATTTGTATTCAAAATAATTTTTTATTTTTTTAATTATTTATTGAATTGAAAAATACGATTTTTATGAAATTTCAAAAAATATTTATTACAAAAACTAAAAAAAAACGAATATTCAAAATAATTTTTTATTTTTTTTAATTATTTATTTAATTGAAAAAATATGATTTTTATGAAATTTCAAAAATATTTATTACAAAAACTAAAAAAAAACTAATAATTATATAAAAAATCATATTAAATTTTAGTTTTTTTATTTAAATTAAAAAAAAGCAAAAATGCATTTTCAATATCGTTAAAAATTCCAGTTCAGTACTATATGAGTTAAAAAAAATAGTTTTAATTTTTTTTTAATTTTTATTAAAAATTGAATGTTTGATATGAAATTCCAAAAATTTCACAGGGAATTCAAAAAATTATATTTTATTTTAAATTAAATCTTTATTTAATTTTTTTTATGAAATTTCAAAGAAATATTGATTTCAAAATTTATAAAAAAGTTAAAAAAATAAATTGTAGGATTTTTTAATTATAAAAAAATTATATGAAATTAAAAAAATGCATTTTAAAAAATCATGTTCAGTACTATATAAATTTAAAATTAAAAAAAATGTTTTAAATTTTTTTAATTTCTATTAAAATTTAAAACATGAAAGTTTCATATGAATTCGAAAAATTAAAAAATTAAAAAAACTATATTAATTTCAAAATAGTGTCAAATAAATTAATTTTTTAATTGACATTATTTTTTTATGAAATTTCCAAAAAATATTGATTTAAAAATATATAAAAAAAAACTAACAAATATTGTAGAATTTTTTAATTATAAAAAAATATATAAAATTCTAATTTTTTTAGTTAAATTAAAAAAAAAAATGCATTTTCAATACCGTGAAAAAATCAATTTCAGTACTATATGAATTTAAAATTAAAAAATATTGTTTTAATTTTTTTTTAAATTTTTTTTTTTTTTAAATTAAAAAAAAAATACAAAATTGCTCATGAAAGTTTCATATGAAATTCCAAAAATTTCACAGCGAATTAAATTAAAAAATTGGAAAAAATTAATTTTAGATTTTTTTTGAGTTTATATTAAAAATTAAAATAAAATTCACATGAACTTACAAAATTGCACATGAAAGTTTCATATGAAATTCTAAAAATTTCACAGGGAACAAACAAATAAGATTAATTTTAGAAAAATATTAGAAATTTGATGTGAAACTTCAAAAAAAAGTTTCATGTAAAATTCTCATTTTTTACAATATTTATTTTTTGAAATTCCAAAAATTTCACAGGGAATTAAATTAAAAAATTGGAAAAAATTAATTTTAGATTTTTTGTTTTTTGAGTTTATATTAAAAATTGAAATAAAATTCACATGAACTTACAAAATTGCACATGAAAGTTTCATATGAAATTCTAAAAATTTCACATGGAATTAAAAAAATTAGTTTACTTTCTATATAGTGACAAATAAGATTAATTTTAGAAATATATTAGAAATTTGATGTGAAACTTCAAAAAAGAAAAGTTTCATGTAAAATTCTAATTTTTTACAATATTTAATTTTATTTGATCTATTATTTGTCCACTGTGAATTATTTTATTACATTTTAATTTAAAATTGTAATTCTATTGTTTAGATTTTTTTTTAAATATTATTTTTATTACCGTTTGCGTGTTTCTTTATTTTTTTTTTTTTTATAAATTTAAACAAATGACATGAAAATACAGTGTCGATGCTATGCTTGACTTGCAGTGAGATTTTAATTAACTATTATTAAATAATTTTTTTAATATGATAACTAAGAGAATTCTGGAAAGAGAGGAAGTGAGTGTGGGAGGGAGAGAGAGTAAGAGAAACAAATGCTATTTTTTTAAATCGTTATTGAAGAAACCCCAGTTTTTTTTTTCAAATATGCCCATTTGAGATTTTGAAATAATAGAAAATCAATTATTAATTTAATAACATTATATATAAAAATAAAAATGCCCATTTGAGATTTTGAAATAATAGAAAATCAATTATTAATTTAATAACATTATATATAAAAATAAAAATTTTTGAGATTTAAGGATTAGAAAATTCTTAAAGGTTCTGGGATAGATGAAGAAAAATTAAATATCAAATTTAAAATGGAAATAATAATAAAATATGCCCACATAAAAATAAAATCATGATTATTTTAGCTTTGAATTTCCACTTTATATTATTTTTAATTTGCAATTATATTCACGTATGGCAACAAAATGTCAATGTATTCTATAGATTTATGAATAATAGATTGTCACGTAGTTGATTCACTTCAATATGGATAGAAGAAACGTGAGTCGCAAAGCCCCACCAACTGTACAATAAATACATGACAATATTATAAATAAGGAAAGAATAAAATAAACGGAACTTTTTAATTTGTGAAGTAAAAAAAAAAACAAATAGGAAATAGATACAAATATTAGAGAGGATAATTTAAAACTTTGCCATTTAATAAGTAGAATGAGGAATAGTATTACGATAGACTAACCCATTCTCTATTGGTCACTAAACTTACAAAATTTGAGCACGAGAAAGTCTTAATATGCCAGTTTTAGATCTTCTCTCAAATAGTGTGGAGAAAAACAATAGACCATAAACGATTTTTAAGGCCGAGAATGACATCTCAAGCCTACAAGGGGTAATACAAATTCTGTTTTCAAATAAATGAGAATTATGAGCCCACATAAAACACTGAAGTAGTAAAAAAATAAGCATTATTGACCACAAGAAGTTTAAAAGTCGATTTGCAAAAATCGAAATAATTTTTAAGCCATAAAAATTTTCAAAACAATTTTTGATAGTTGTTGAAAATTTGTATCAAGTCAATGAGAATTATGAGATGACATAAAGCACAGAAGTTACATTTATTACCACTTGACAAGTATAATTTTAATTAAAATTCGATTATTAAATTAAAAATTTGAATGGTTGTTTTAAAAAGTAGACAGAGTTTAGTTCTCATCTCAAATGTTGTGGAGAAAAAAGGCCGAGAAATACATCTCCAGTCTATTAGGGGTAATGCATATTCTACTTTCAAGTAAATGAGAATTATGTGCCCATATAAAACACTGAAGTAATAAAAAATAAGCATTGTAGACAACAAAAAGTTTAGATGTCGATCTGCAAAAATCCAAATAATTTTTTAGGGAGAAAAAATGTGTAAATTATTTTTGATAGTTGTTGAAAATATTTTTCAAGTCAATGAGAATTATGAGATAGCATAAAACACTGATTTGAATTAAAATCTGAAATGTAAATTAAAATTTGCTTCTATTAATGTTTGAAGTAATGGGAAATATTTATTTTCCTCATATTAAAAAATAATATAAATAATAATTAATATTTATTTTTTTTATATTAATTTAAAAATTTGCTTCTATTGAAGCTTGTTTTAAAAAAGTAGACAGGAACCTCAAGCCTTTAGAAGTAATGTGAAATATTTATTTTCCAATGAATCACCAATGAAGTAACAAACAAATATGAATTATTGTTTGCCTGATGTTTAAAAGTCGATTTGCATAAAAATCAAAGGCATCTATATAATTGTTAAGTGATAAAAGGAGCTGAAACATTTTTTTAATGTTATTGAAAATATTTTTCAAGTCAATGGGAATTATGAGACTGCACAAAGCATTGAGGTAGTATATCCTACCAAATGACAGCTCTAAATTAAATAAAAAGCCATTTTAAATTAAAAAAGTCTTTCTAACAATTCTTAAGCAATAAAAATGCGAAAAAAGTCTTTGAAAGTTATTGAAAATATTTTTCAAGTGAATGAGAATTACAAGCTTGTTGTAATCATTGAAGGTATCATTTCTAACCATTTGAAAAGTCTAACATGCATTAAAAAGTCATTTTTATTTATAAAAATTATTTCTTATAATTTTTAGGTACTACAAAATGAAAAACATTGTTTTCGATAGGGGAAGAAAAAATTTTTTAAGTCAATGATAATTCTGAGAAGGTTTAAAACATTGAAGTAGTATTTTTAAACATTTGGCAGCTCTAATTTGAATAAAATCTAAGCTCTAAATCTAATTAACAAATTTCTACTATAGAATTTTTCAGCAATCTAGAATGCGAAACATTTGTTTTGTAAAAGTTGTTGGAAAATATTTTTCAAGTCAATGAGAATTATGAGAGTGCACAAGTCTTTGAAGTAGTACCAAGTGGCAACTCTAAATTGATTTAGAAAGCCATTATATATCCAAAAAGGTATCTAATATCATTTTAAAGCGATAAACAATGTGAAAAAATAGTTTTAAATGTTGTAGAAAATATATTTCAAGTCAATGAGAATTTTAAGAGAGCACAAAGCATTGCATTAATATATCTAATAAATATTTCTGATTTGAAAGCCATTTTATATGGAAAAATGGCTGTCATATAATTTTTAAGCAATAAACAATGTGAAAAAATAGTTTGGAATGTTGTCGAAAATATATTTCAAGTTAATGAGAATTTTGTGACAGCATAAAGCGCATAGAATTAATATTTCTAATCATTTGATAACTCTGAATTGTATTAAAACTTAATTTTTATATTCAAAATGTATGTCATATAATTTTTAAATAATACAGAACGCAAAACATTGATTTCGATAGTGATGGAAAATATTTTTCAAGTCAATGAGAATTATGAGAATTTACAAGGCATCGGAGTAGAATTTCTAACCATTTGACAACTCCAAATTCCATCAAAATAACATTTTTTTAATTAAAAATTTCTGTTGCATAATTTTACATAATTTAGATCTGTCTGTAATAGAAATTTGTGGATTATATTTGTCAAGTCATTGAGAATTATAAGCCTGTACAAAGCACTGAAATAGCATTTAAACACTGAAAATTTAAATCGAATTAAATTAATTATTTTAATTACAACATTTTCTTCCCTTTAGGCCTCCAAAGAGGAAAGATGTCTGAATCAACAATCCACACAGCAATTTTTGTATTCTCTCTATACGGATATTGCATTGACAGAACTTAAAGGTTATACAATGATGGAATTTTCATGGATGATTTTGAGGGTGTACGGAAAAGGTGAGTACTCTATTAAAATAGAAAAAAAAAACAAACGATATAATGAATTCCCATCACTTTTTCTTCTTGCAGGCAACTTCACCCAAGAAGCCGAACTAATGCGTAGCGATTTTGAAAAACGTACCCAAAAAACCGTACGCCTATTGCGTGAAGTTATGAATCGTGCCGATCGCATTGTGTGGCGTTGTGATCCCGAAAAATATGTCCAAGGCAAGACATATGATGAAGTCACCCGACTACTACAGGGTTATATTGAAAATGAAGTGGATATGAATTATAATCGTGAATGTTGGCAAACGTGTGAAGATTATAGCAGCACGAAAAATGAAGGTTGCTTTAAGGATAAATTCTGTGCGCGGCAGGAACGTTGTACGGGTAATATACACAGTTGTAGACGTTTTGATTCGGATATGATGATATGTCCATCGGTAAGTGGGGGTTTTCTTTTTTAACTTTTTTTGTTATGAAAAGAATCTCTAATTTGTTTTTTTTATATTTTATCTTGGATTTAGCCTCGCGATAGCCATAAACGTTATGAATTTATTGAATATGAAAATGGTGTAACATTGGGCAAAGTTGGTCAATGTTCGAGAGGTAAAACACCGGTAAGTAAGAAAAGAAAAAAATAACATATGTAGAATTTGAAAACCTATCAAATCATTAGCTCGTAATGCCCAGAAATTCTAAATCCTAGTAATAATTAGTTAATATAGATAATTTATCTAGCAAGGTAATAATTGTTTTGTAGATTATTTAGATAATGTAGGTTGTACAGTGTTGAATATATATATATATATATATATATATATATTAAATTTGTATAGACTAGATTTTTATCTAAATTATAAATATAATGTAGGAACTTGGTAGAGTAATGTAAATTTGTGTAAAACTATATTTTTTCATATATATATACGTAATATAGATTATTTAGATAATTCAGATATTTTATTTCAAACAATAATTGAATAATGTAATACGAATAGATAATTTTTTTATATTTTATCTCGTGTATTTTAGAAGACGAATAGATAATTGTTTTATATTTTATCTCGTGTATTTTAGAAGACAGCTTAGATAAGTACATTATTTTCATTTTTTTAGTTAAGAGATTTAGATAATTTAAAGTAAATTTAACCACATTAATATTTTAGATAGTTTATCTAGACTTTATGTAGATTATTTGTTTAGGACAACATTTAGATAATTTCTAGATAATTAATGTATGTTATTTATAATCATTTATTTAAGATCTTTAATATTTTTATCTATTATATACTTTTATATATGTGTCGAATTTAAACTTTTAGATAATATTGAAATTTTATTTAGATAATTTAGATGAGTTGTAGAAAAAAACTGTAATTAAGATATACAAATAAAGTATAAAAAAATAAAAATACTTTATATTTATTTTTGCATTTATCTAAAATATGTAGATAATGTAGACATTTTGGTTTTGTATATTTTGTGTACATTGTAGATAATTTTTTTATGTCCTAAAATAATGTAGATTATTTAAGAATTAGAATCAAATATAATCGATAGTTTATCTATGCCTCTAGACAACGTAGATACATAGTCACCATATAAATAATTTTATTAAATTTTATTTGTTGTAGATAATATTAAATATACACAATTTATATAATCCTCTAGATACTATCAAAATCTAGGCTATTAAGATAAGGGAAAATGTATCTAATGTAATAATACGATTTATCTTAGGTTATCATGATGTGGTAGATGTATTTTTTAGATCCTAATAATAGTGTAGATAAATAATTGGACCACAGATATAAAGTAGATATTTTATAGATTGAGTTATAGATACTTTTTATGGGACTAATTTAGATACAAAATATACAATATAAAATTCGGTATACAGTATAGTATATAAAAATGTTATCTAGATAATGTTATCGCAAAAAATAATTTATCAGGTAAATAGATGATACGTTCTAAAACATTTTTTAGATACTGTAGATAAATATATAGAGCATTTAAATAATGTAGATAAAAATATATAACTAAAAGATGGATATTACATTATCTACATATCGAAAATAAAATATTAGCCAAATTATCTACATTACTTTCACATTGTAATAGATACATTATCTGTGTTATCTAAAGGTTTCATAAGCGTTTTTGATAATATAAAAACATTTTAGATAAAACTTTTTAGCTTTTTATAATTTTTGGTATATTCAAATATGCTAGATACATTATCTTTGTTATCTAAAGGGGTTTAGAAGTGTAATAATATTATCAAAATATTCAAGATGAATAATCTAAATTGTTTTATTAAATTTTCAAAATTCAAGATGAATTATCTAAATTGTTTTTTTATATTTTATTGACATTTTTAAATATACTAGATACGTTATCTAAAGGCTTTCGGAGTTTATATACATTATCCAAATATTAAAGATAAATTATCTAAACATTTTTCTATAATTTTTGGCATATTCAAATATGCTAGATACATTATCTATGGGTTTAGAAGCATATACATATTATCGAAATGTTGTAGATAAATTATCTAAATAGTTTTTCTATAATTTCTGGCATATTCAAATAGGCTAGATACATTATTTTCGTTATCGAAAGCGATTATGAGTGTATATATATTATTAAAATATTCTAGATAAGTTATCTAAATTGCATTTTTATATTTTAAAGGGTTTCAGAGTTTATATACATGATCAAAATATTGAAGATAAATTATCTAAAAAATTTTCTATAATTTTTGGCATATTCAAATATGCTAGATACATTATCTATTTGATCTAATGGGTTTAGAAGCTTGTACATATTATCCAAATATTGTAGATAAATTATCTAAATTATTTTTATATCACTTCTGGCATATTCAAATAGGGTAGATATATTATCTATGTCATTTAGATTAGAAAAATAGTTTTTCATACATTATCCACATTATAAATATGGCGGATTTTTTTTAAATGATCTAGATAAATTATCTAAACAGTAATAATTTGTAATTTCACCCGATTGGGGTAGATAAATTATCGACATTATTAAAATTATGTTTTAGATAAATTATTTAACCATAATTTATCCAAACAATTTAGATACTTTTTTGTATAGCATTTACGCTTTCTCATAGGTGTAGATAAATTATTTACATTATTAACACATTTTAGATAAATTATTTACATTATTAAAATAGCATAGATGAATTATCCATAATTTATCCAAACAATTTAGATACATTATCTATAGTATTTACGCTTTCTCATAAGTGAGGATAAATTATTTACATTATTAAAATAGCATAGATAAATTATCTAGTTCTGTTATCTAAATTATTTATTTTAACAAGTGAACCTAATTTATTTTCAAAACCCCTTCACCCTGAAAAATTCCTATTAAATTTCATTCCCTTCTATTTTGTTTACAGGTTGACTCATGGTGGCGTTATCTATTCTGGCATTGTACCTATTGTTTCTGTTTGTGTGACGATCAATATAGTTCGAAAACGGATCGTTATTTCAATTTACGTGAAACGTTGGCCAATGTTGAAGAAAATAAGTATGTTAACCAATCCTCTTCCTCCCACCCCTCCAAAATCTCACATTTCATTATTTTTTCTCTTCAATTTCAGGGTCCTAACCGGCTTACGTTTCGTCAAGGTTAATCGTATATTCCATTTACAAATACAACAAGGTGACCTATTGCCACGTGGTAAAATTAATGCCAGCACCTTGGAATGGTTGCCGGTAGATAATTATACATTGAATGCCCGGAATGTCCATAATAATCGTGATTACTATACTTTGAGTTATGGTGCTCGATCCATTGATTTGGATGATGTCCACACCGAGGATAATAGTTTTGTTGTTACGGGTGTACGATTCCGTGTTGTTGGCGCCCATTTGAATTTGGAAGCCCGCCTAAGTGAATTTAATTTTGAAACGGGGAAATTGGTTAATCCCATGGTGAATAGTTTTTGGAAATCTAACGATAATACCGATGTTAGTGGGGATAGAAGGTAAGGTTTTCCTGTATATAGCAGCAATCAATTACTAAAACTATACTCTTTTTCTTTAGACAAAAAGTGGAGATGATCAGTCCCGATGTACCAACCCGAACAAAGGCCAAATCTGTACCCGATTCACGTCACAATCAATATATCGAGTTTACCGCATCGGATGTCTACAAGGATGCCTCACAGTCGACGGTGCCGTTTATTGATACCCAACATGTTGTGTCTATGCCCCCCGTGCCATTGGCCGGTGTTGGTATATATCATAAGGGTCGCCCCGGTTATGGTGGTTTCATTGCACCTAAACTGATGACCTATGATTTTACACCACACATTCAAGCACCTCGTAGAACTTAAGTTATATATTCATACATATAAAAAATATCAAATAAACACAAAAATCCCAAAATAATATTATTTCCTCTCCTTATCTCTCTCTTCCTTGCCCTCCCTCTCCCTTTCTTTCCCTATAATATATTGCATTACTATATTTTATTTTCCTCAATTTGTATTTCCTATAAGGCATTGCGTTTATTTTTTTATATTTAAGTTAAAATATTATAATCTATAAATAACCATTATTATATTGAAAATCATCCTATTTGTAATGGATTCGAATAATAAAACAACAACAAAAACAAACAGCATGATGTGAAAATAAAATATAGGTATTAAAATAAAACAAACAGAAAATTGAATATCATAATATAAATCATGCCAAATATAGAAATAACAAAAATTAAAAAAAAACACTCACATTTTTTGCTATAATTTTGAATATATTTCAAATATTGAAATTAATTTCAAAAATTTCGACGAGGCAGAACTTCTTATAGCCTTTACCATGAGGTGAAATTTTTGATGGGAAGATTTGACGCCGAATGAGAACCAAATTAGAGTCATTTCGGTTAGCCCTAAATAGGGAATAATCGTGGTACCGTAATATGAGACTGTCCTCAAATTTGGACCGATATCAATTATTTTTTTTGATTTGGAGATTTCCTATCCAAAGTAGCAAATTACACCCAATTCGGTTGCACAACGTGTCCAAATTCCCCCCAAAATACCGAACATAGGGGGTACCCGTTATATGGGAGCAATCCGAAAAAGTGAGCCAATATTGATAATATTTGGTAAAGAGATTTTCTACCCCATTGAAAATCAAAATATGAAATTACAGCTGATTTGGTTGGAAAATTTGCCCACAATACCCAAAATACCAAACAATGGGGGGTACCAGTTATATGGGGGCTATCTTAAAAAGTCATCCAATATTGCTAATTTTTGGTAGGGAAATCTAAAATACCAAAATAAAGTCAATTCGATTGGAAAAACTTGCCCAAATTCCCCAAAATACCGAATAATAGAGGACGTTATCTGGAGAAGTGAACCGATATCGATAATTTTTGGCAAGGAGATTTGCTATAGAATGACAATTCAAAATACTAAATTACTACATATATAACCACCCAGCAGATCCCTAGATCAGGAAACTTACGTTGGAGGTCAGCACCTGATGAGTTGCAACATTGGTACCGCAGTAACTAAACTGTGGGCAACGGTCAATTCGTTCTCGAACCCTGCTAAGAAGGATGATAGGACTTCAGTCACATTTAACGACGAAACTGTGACTGATCCGAAGAGATGCGCAAGTTATTTTAACCGACAGTTTGTCGAGCAACCCGAAAGCGACAGGGCGAAAAGAAGACTACTTTGTCGTATAAGATCTCTTCCAGGCGAGGAGGTACCACCACAGTTCACGATGAGTGATGTCGCACATGTCATCCGCAACGCGAAGTCGTCCAAAGCGTTGGGCCCTGACGGAATATCCATGTGTATGCTGAAGCAGCTGGACGAGCCAGGAGTCGAGTACTTGACCAACGTCCTCAACTTGTCGATAGCCACCCACGGCGTCCCGCAACTGATGCCATCAAAGGTGAATCTTACAGACCGATTTCTCTTTTGTCGCAAGTAGCGAAGACCCTAGAGGCATTACTCCTCCCCAGTTTTAAAGAAAACTATCCAGTTGCGGATCATCAACATGGATTCCGTAAGCAACACAGTACAACAACAGCGTTGCACGCCATCTCCGCACATATAAGTCGAGGACTTAACCAGAACCGGCCGTGCGGTAGAACAGTGTTGGTAGCGCTTAACCTATCAAAAGGATTTTATACTGTCAACCATGCTAAGCTATTTGAGGACATTGAGAGCACATTCCTCCGGAAACGTTGAAACTTTGGATAATCAACTATATGTGTGGACGCCAGTCGTACGTGGAGTTCCGGAACAAGAAGTCCAAACTCCGTAGAGTTAAACAGGGAGTTCCCCAGGGTGGAGTGATTTCTCCGGAACTGTTTAACCTCTACCTTTCTGATATTCCACGCAGGTGCAGGTCGGGAGTCATACAATTCCGGCCAACAACTACCCCAAAATTCTCGATGTCACATTCGAGAGTATGTTTATATCGTCCGTACAAACCACAGTTATCTGCGATAAGTTGAAAAGTAGAAACAATGTCCTCAAGTCGCTTGCCGGCAGCACTTGGGGCTCAGCGATAGGTCGGTCTGTGGCAAGCTATGCGGTTCCAGTGTGGTCCGCGAACTCTAATGATACGCAAGGAAGGATCTGCATGATCTAGAGAGAGAGAGAGGTTTAACGTTACAAAAGGGAGCCTCGAGATCAAGTTGCAGTCGAGCAGGTCTGAATAGCATTCATACTGATGCAGTAGCCGCAGCGCTGAACAGATACAGATTGAATGCTGTTCTCGATCGGTAACCTCTTACTGACTAATAAGATTTTGATAGTCAGAATTTTCGGTTTGATTAGGTCATCAGAGGTCTGGAGGGGATCTCTAGATGAAACGAGATCTGTGGCGTCATCAACCATCAATGCAAAGGAAGACAAGGGCGTATCCAGAACGTACAGATGTAGAGCCGGTGAAAAGTCTTAAGGGTTATGACAGTGAAAACACTACAAGATTCCGCAGACGACCGATGAGTGATAATCATTGACCGAACTGAAGCCCGACGGTTTTAACAGCGAAGCTATTTGCTTGTCAGTCGATCGGTAACTGAAGAACCTCTTGCCGACTAACGAGGTAGTCAGGTCACCAGGGGTTTGGTTATTATTGTGGAAATAGGTTAGGTTAGTTACGTTAAGTTGAAAAGAGGAGTGGTTTATACCACCACATGTCTAATATGTTGACATACACCTAAACCTGTGAAAGGCCTGTTGCGTGCTTTAGAGATGGAAGAGAGTTAGAAGGAGTCATCTTTAGATTTGATTTTCCTAAACTTATAGGAATTCTGTTTTTTTTGTGAAGTCCTTCAGTTTGTTCCAAACACACTCCCTTATGTCGGTATTTTCGCGAAAAATGGCATTTCCCAACAATTAGGTTCGGAAGCATGAAAAGGTTGGACAGTGGAACAGGAAATTTTCCAAAGTTTTGCCGACTTCTCCACACAATCTACAGCAGTTATTCCCCCATTGGGTTGGCTGTAAGCTGATTGCCTTAGAGCTGAACGTGATATTGTGTGGAATAGTGTGCCTTTTGTTTGGATTTCAACAATCCTTATGGGACTGGAAAAAATTATAAATTTCGTTGAAAAGCAGAATGACCGTCTTCGACACATTCTCGAAATACCGGTTTGGTTACACAATTTGTCTCGGAAACTGTTGGAGAAGCCTATCTGAGGAGGAGGAGGTTGAGGAACAAAGGTGTAGTGCTGTACGGTCAGATGTGCCGATAGCTAAAAGGCTATGAAGGGTTTGTCATTGTCCTACGATCTAAAGATTGAGGGATCTGTAAGACCACCTATTCTCTATTACATTGAAAAAAAATCCACAATATCTTCTGCGAGAATGCTGCAGTGGATGGCTAGAGAAACTAGGGAAAAAAGATCACAGCAGGTCACTAACCTCCAATTGAGATACAAATGCAGTAGACTACTGCCGTTTATGTGGGGAAGAGGAAAAGCTGAGAACGATCGATATAGAACCCACTGTAGAACCCACTGCGTAGCATAAAAATCTAGAGATCTTCAATAAAAAAAAGACCTTCTAGAGGCATTCGATGGACAAACGATCTTCTAGAGACCTTCAATAGACAGAAAGCCATCTAGAGGACTTCAATAGATAACATACATTTTAGACACACCAGTTTATTACTTTAGCACACCTCTGCATGAATGCGCTGGCAAACTGATGGTCCCCTTGATACGAGTCAG